TACCGGGCCATTCTCGACTCGTCTGGCAATGCGTGCGCGGCATTCAACACGCGCTCGCCAGTTCCCGTCGGCAACCGCCATCGCGGCCGCATCAGCTGTACCAAACCGGCTGGCCGGTGTGACTTCGGCCCCCAGTTGTGCAGCTTTGCTTCTTATGTTGTGGGAGGGCGGGTGGGACTGGGCATGCCATGCTTGACTCGCTCGAGCTGGCTAGCTTGACTCCTACTCCTACTCCTATCCTTATTCCTTATTAGAATATACTCCTACTCCCCCCTCAGGCCGGCAGATAGCGGGCGCATCCGGGTGGTCCCATCCTAACCTGTAAAAAACAATACAAAATCAACATTTTTCTTATTTTTTCCTCTCGACATGGACGTCCTGTCGTCCACGGCGATAATCCATTGCAAAAAAATACCACAAAGAACACACGCGCGCGTTCATGTCAGAATCCTACCGAACACCGTGTGTTTGCAAGCATTTCAACATAAAAACATCAAAAACCCAATGCTTTTTCACAAAAATTGTACCAATTTCCCGCCCGGGCTCTCTTGCTGCAATCATAGGAAAACCATAGGAATCTTAAGAATTCTGCAAAAATTTCAATGCCACAAAGAGCACACGCGCGCGTTCATGTCAGAATCCTACCGAACACCGTGTGTTTGCAAGCATTTCAACATAAAAACATCAAAAACCCAATGCTTTTTTCACAAAAATGCTTTGGGGTGTCCTGTCAGACCGTCGGGCTTCCTCCGGCCACCTCTGGCTTCCTGCGGTGTACCGGGCCATTCTCGACTCGTCTGGCAATGCGTGCGCGGCATTCAACACGCGCTCGCCAGTTCCCGTCGGCAACCGCCATCGCGGCCGCATCAGCTGTACCAAACCGGCTGGCCGGTGTGACTTCGGCCCCCAGTTGTGCCAGCTTTGCTTCTTATGTTGTGGAGGGCGGGTGGGACTGGGCATGCCATGCTTGACTCGCTCGAGCTGGCTAGCTTGACTCCTACTCCTACTCCTACTCCTATCTCCTCCTCCTCGTCCCCCTTCCCCTCCCCTTTTCCCTCCTCCTCTCCTCCTCCTCCTCCTCTTCCTCCTCCTCCTCCTCCTCCTCCTCCTCCTCCTTTCCTCCTCCTCCTCCTTCTCCACCCCGCCCCTTCTCCTCGTGCACTCCTCCTTCTTGCTGGCCGGGGCACGAAGGTAGATTTTCTTTGGCGCTGTCGCCGCCACGGCCAACAGGGGCACTTTGTCCGACACGCCGTCGGGGCAACCCCGCGGGACGGTAGGGCGCGGGAGCAAGCCGGCGGGACAACCCCGCAGGCACCGAGCTAGCCGCGGCCGGGCTCAGGCGGGAGGCAGCGCGAAGCCGAGCTCTGCCGCGAGCTACTCCCCCTCAGCCCTGGAGCTCTCCGCTCTCTTGTCGAATTCCCCAAGCGCCTTCCGCAGGGACGGCGGCGGCCCGGGCTCCAGGAATTCTCGCGCGGGCGGCCGCAGGATCTGAATGTTCCGCATGCACGTGGCGCGGGGGAACATGACATAGAGGTGCAGCCACCACTGTTCGTCCGACATGCCCGTGCGACCAGCGTCCTCGTCTCTGGCGCAGTCAATGGTGATTTCCTCCATTTCCACACCTGAAAAGCCCAATACTGACGACAGCTACACCACTTGGATGACCCGCCTGGATTCGAACAGCAAGGGCCGCCCACACAGGGAGGGATTCCCGTGCGAGACTCCCCTGCGACCGCTCGGATCCGAACATGAGGTGGAAACTCCATCAGGAGGAGGCTCCCGCTCTAGACCTCCTGACGACTCACTCACAGACGACGCTCTGGCTTGCGGAGCCCATCAATGACGACAGTTACAAGATTTGGGTGGGAGGAGGGTGGAGGAGGAGGAGGAGGAGGAGGAGGAGGAGGAGGAGGGTGGAGAAGGAGGAGGAGGAGGAGGAGGAGGAGGAGGAGGAGGAGGAGAGTGGAGGAGGAGGAGAAGGAGGAGGAGACGACAGTACAAGATTTGGATGGCCCGCTCAGATTGGAGCATGGAGTGCCGGCGCCATAGAGAGGGGATCCCGCTCGAGACTCCCCAGCGACGGCACGGATTCGAGCACGAGGTGGGATGCTCATAGGGCGGGGCTCCTGCTCGAGGCTTCCTCGCGAGTCACGAACCGGCGACGGCGTCCAGCGAAAACAAGAACCCCACTTACAGTCGGCCTTGATTGGACAGGACACGCGAGAGGACACAAGACCCTTCCGAGGGCCACGTCGCCATAGGAGTGTAAGAAGGCACGCGTCGCGAGGCACAGGACACAAGGGTACCCTTGAGCTGGCAGGGTCGACCTACTAATCTGGGCCGACTGTAGGACACATGCCTCATTCGCATTCGATCCCGAGCGAAAAACTACTCAACAACTCTTGGGGGTGCTCACGTGCCACGCCTGGTCGAGTTTGCCGATGGTTCGCTCGGGTTACGAACATCGGATGCGGGCCCCAAAGCGCGGGGGGGGTCCATCTGAGAGCTCCTAGCAAGACACTCCCGGACGAGGCCCCCGCTGGAGACATCCTCACGAATTGCCCCCTTGGGGTGCTCAAGCTCGATGCCTGGTAAAGTTTGCCGATGACCCGCTCGGATTACAAACATGACATGCGGGCCCCATGGGGAGAGGGTTCCGCCTGAGACTTCCTCGCAAGTCACTCACAGACGAGGCCCCTGCTTGAGACAACCTCACGATTTGCCCCCGTGGGGTGTTCAAATCCGATGCCTGGTAGAAGTTGCCGATGGCCCGCTCGGATTACCAACACGAAGTGCGGGCCCCATAGAAAGGGAGCTCCTGCCTGAGACTTCCTCGCAAGTCACTTACAGACGAGGCCCCTGCTTGAGATATCCTCACGATTTGCGCCCTTGGGGTGCTCAAATGCAAAGCCTGAAAAAGTTTGCCGATGACCCGTTCGGAGCACAAGCATGCAATGTGACCCCATAGGGAGGAAACTCCCGCCTGAGACTTCCTCGCAACTCAGTCACAGACGGGGCTCCCGCTTGAGACATCCTCACGATTTGCCCCAATTGGGGTGCTCAAGTGCTATGCCTAGTAGAGTGTGCTGATGAACCGCTCGGATTATCAACCTGATGTGCGTGCCCATAGGGAGGGGGCTCCCGCACAATACATCCCTCAAGGTGAACACGTGAGTGTGTGGGTGTGTATGGTGATGATGAGTGGTGAGTGATGATGGTAGTGACGATGATGATGATGATGATGATGATGATGATCATGAGGAGGAGGCGGAGGATGTTGATGATGATGATGATGGTGATGATAGCGATGATGATGGTGATGATGATGGTGATGATGATGGTGATGACGATGGTGACGATGATGATGATGATAATGAGGGTGAGGATGAGGATTATGATGATGATAATGATCATGATGCTGATGCTGATGATGATAACGATGACGATGATGCTGATGCTGATGCTGATGCTGGTGATGATGGTAATGATGATGACGACGACGATGGTGACGATCCTGATGATCATGGTGGTGATGATGATGCGATTGGTGATGAGAATGAAGACGAGAATAACGATGACGATGACGATGACGATGACGATGACGATCGTGATGATGATGATCAGTATCATCGTCATGACGACGACGATGATGATGATAGTGATGGTGGTCATGATGATGATGATGCTGGTGCTGATGCTGATGCTGGTGATGATGATGATGATGATGTTGATGATGACGATGATGATTATGATTATTATGATGATGATGATGATGATGATGATGATGATGATGATGATGATGATGATGACGGTGATGAGGATGATGAGTGGTTGGGTGTGTGAGTGTGTGAGCGAGGAAGAGCGAGGGGAGGAGAAGCAGGAGTAGGAGGAGGAGAAGCAGGAGTAGAAGGAGGAGGAGATCCTGCGCGGTGGGTGTGCAGAGAAACAAGAACCCCACTTTGGGTGTGGGGAATAACAGAACACAGCAAAAGCAGATCGTGGTTTGAAGTAGGAAGGCGCTAGACGTAGACTAGGATCTGGAAGCCCAAAAATACGTACTTCCAACGACCGACGTGTGCTGTCGAATCCAACGTGGATTCATGTACGTGTACGTCCTTCTTTCGCCCCTGACCTGTGCGTGTGGCGCGGTGGCGCCCGGCCGCGGGCGCGGGGCCCCAGAGTTCGCAGGCCTCGCGCCCAGCAGGCACGATGTCGACAGCGGCTCGCGGGGGGGGAGGAGGAAGAGGAAGAGGAAGAGGAAGAGGAAGAGGAAGAGGAGGAGGAGGAGAAGGAGGAGGAGGAGGGTGAGGAGGAAGAAGAGGAGGAGAAGGAGGAGGAGAGGGAGGAGGAGGAGAGAGAAGAGGAGAGAAAGAAGGAGGAGGAGGAGGAGGGCAGGAGCTCGGCAGGAGCAGGGCGGCGCTCGGCAGCGGCAGCCACCCCGACCGGTGGTGTGTCGGCAGGGGTGGCCCGCCGCGGCAAGCAGAGCCCTCGCCGCCACGGCTGGATCCTCGGGGAGGCGCTTCTTGAAGCGAGGGGGAAGGCTGTCAGGGACTCGTGAGGAGGGGACTCGTGGGAGGGTGTAATGCGTCATCGTTGATACATCTGGAAATTATGATGGTCCTCCCTCCTCCTCCTCCTCCTCCTCGTCCTCCTCCTCCTCCTCCTCCTCCTCCCCACCACCTCCACCACCACCTCCACCACCCGACTCTTCCTGCATCCTCCCCTTTCCCCCTTCCGACCCCACCTCCTCTCGACTCCACCCTCCTGCCTCGAGATCCTGGTCAGGACGCGCCCCGGGAGCGGTCCCGAGGCCTCCAGGAGCGCAAAGGCCTCCCGACTGGAGACTCGACCCCGTCTGTTGCGACGTAGCGGCTACAAAAGGAGGCCCCTGACTGCGCATTCACGTTCCTATCGGCAAAACGAGCCGCCTGGGCGTCTGCGAGCAAACACGCACTGCGGTCTCAGATGGGGCGAAGCAGGAAAGAGGAACACCCAAGCACCTGGGAGGACTTGTTGAAGAAAAAGCGCTCGCCCTGCCAGTCCGACAGCTCCACCCAATTGCTCATCTCCTGCGCAGCAGGCAGTGGAGACGAAAACCATGTCTTCCTGCACAACGCATTGCGACCCCTGGAAGGATAGAGCTGAGCACAACATGAGTAGACCTGTTGCGAAGAAAGAGGGACCAGCCATGTCCGTTTTACCACGGGCATGGCTCAGATATCTATAATATGAGTTCTGACCCCAGGGTGGCCTCAGAAATTCCCCATGTGGACCCATATAGAGTTACAGTGGCCGGAGAGAAGGGCACAGATGGAGACACCTACGTCAGGTTCGTGTCGGGCCGACTTCGGCGTTGGTTCCTGACGCCACGGGCATCGTTCAACCGTGAACGATCGGCCGTTTCCGAAACGTCCAAACCGTTCCACATCGAACGAGTCTGGGTCGCCCGCGGCGTTCAGAGTTGAACGCCGCTGGCGGGGCCGCCGCCGGTCGAGACGACATGAGCCCTGCCGTAGAGTAATCATGGAGACACGGGCGGACAACGGGAGACAGCGGGCGACAATGGGCGACAGCGGGAGCCAGCGGGAGACCGCGCGAGACAGCGGGAGGCAACGGTGCCCCGCCGATTCCAGGGCCAGCGACCCGCGCACTCGGCTTCTCGAAAATACGCTTATAGGACCCTTGCAGACGGGCCGTTTAGGAAACGATCTCATTTGAGACAAACTCCGAATCCCCACCTCCATGGGAAGATTGAAACACGAAGGTCAGAATATCCATTACATGCTCTGTCTGCCAACGGCGCACCACGAGACAGTTAGTCTAATTCGTGCCTCGTGTTTGTTCATACCAGATAGAACGCAGCTCAAACAAACAAGTGTGACGCCCCTGGTCTTGCTGCAGACGTACCAGCTGATGCTCTTGTGTCAGCCTGCAGAGTGCAGGACAATGCGGTCGGCTTCTGCTCGGGGATGAAGACGTCAATGGTCGTGGTGCCCACGCCTTCTACACACATCGCACTTGTCGGCGTTGACTCTCCCGAGACATGCCCGCGCCTGCAGACTCGTGCACGGACGGACGTGGTCACGCACACGCGCGCGCGCGCGAAACCACGCAAACGCTCGCGCGCGCGCACATCCCCCTTCCCAGATCCCATCAACTTCCAGAACTTAGGTCTACGTAAGCCGGGTCCCCACCCCCTGCTCGGGGCCTCGCCGAACCCCCAATGCAGAACCCTGCAAAGCCCACCCCCCGCAAAACACCCTGCAGGAACTCTGCGAGGCCCGCCTGCCAAGACCCTGCGAAGACCCCCTTATTAGGCAACATCCACCTCCCACCCTCCCTCCTCCTCCTCCTCCTCCTCCGCCTCCTCCTCCTCCTCCTCCTCCTCCTCCTCCTCGTCCTCGTCCTCCTCCGCCTCCGCCTCCTCCTCCTCCTCCTCCCCCTCCTCCTCCTCCTCCTCCTCCTCCTCCTCCGCCTCCTCCTCCTCGTCATCCTCCTCCTCCTCCTCCTCGTCCTCCTCCGCCTCCTCCTCCTCTCCTCCTCCTCCTCCTCCTCCTCCTCCTCCTCCTCCTCCTCCTCTTCCTCCTCCTCCTCCTCTTCCTCTTCCTCCTCCTCCTCCTCTTCCTCCTCCTACTTCTCCACCTCTTCCATTCTTTTCCGTATGAATAACTTATCCTTGTCAAACCCCGCAGCCAGTTTTTAGGGCAGACCGGGCATTTCGCCTGAGACTTCCTCAACAACTGTTATGACTCTGAAGACTCAAATTTGACAACAGCTTCACAGATGGAGGCGGGTGGTTTTCAAAATGTGGCTCTCGCCCTAGCGCCGCGCACATTCGTCCTAAAAATGTGCACGAGCTTCACGGATTGAGGGCGGGTGGTTTTCGAATGTTGCCCTCGCCTTAGCGCCGCACGCAGTCGTTTGAAACATTGCAAGAGCTTCACGGATTGAAGGCGGGTTGATTTCTAAATGTGGCTCTCGCCCTAGCGCTGCGTACACACTCGCTGTGAACATTTGCAAGACCTTCACGGATTGAGGGCGGGTGGCTTTCACAATGTGACTGTCGCCTTGGCGCCGCGCACATTCGTTGTAAAAAACTGCGAGAGTTTCACGGATTGAGGGCGGGTCATTTTCTAAATGTGATTATCGTCTGAGCGCCGCGCACAGTCGTCTTAAAAACTTGCAAGAGCTTCACGGATTGAGGGCGGCTCCTATTCAAAATGTGGTTCTCGCCCTAGCGCCGCGCACATTCTTTTCCAAAGTTTGGAAGAGTTTCGCGGATTCCGATGATCAACGTACCAGGAGCTGCGATTTGGAAGGATTCAGGATTATGCGGTGCAACAGTTATGGTGATTCGCAATGTTGAAGTCGCAAAAATGGAATTATGGCACGATTCCGGATCGTCAAGATGCAGCAGACAAATTGATCCGTGGCGTTGACATCCCGAGAACGATGTTTGGGAATCCTTCAAGGTCTTCGAACACTTGTATTCCAACGAAGCAGTTCCCTCAATGGAAATGAACCGCTGTAAGGGCCTATGAAGAGGGAGCGTGGAGAGCGGGTTAATGCCAACATCGTTAATGTCTCTTGCTTGGGTTTACACTGGTCCTCCTCCTCCTCCTCCTCCTCCTCCTCCTCCTCCTCCTCCTCTTCCTCCTCCTACTACTACTACTCCTACTCCTACTCCTACTCCTCCTTCTCCTCCTCCTCCTCCTCCTCCTCCTCCTCCTCCTCCTCCGCCATTCCTTCTCCTTATGACTAACTGTTCCCTGTCGCACCGCGAAGCCAGTTTTTGTTGGCGGGCCCGGCGTTTCGCCTGAGACGTCCTCACCACGTATGACTCTGAAGCTGAAAAATGGGCGACACTTTCACAAGAGGAGGGCGGGTCGTTTTCAAAACGTGGCTCTCCCCCTAGCGCCGCGCACAGTCGTCTTACAAAAATTGCAAGGGCTTCAAAGATTGAGGGCGAGTGGTTTTCCAAATGTGGCTGTCGCCTTGGCGCCGCGCACATTCGACTTAACAAATTGCAAGAACTTCACGGATTGAGGGCGAGTCGTTTTCAAAATGTGGCTCTCGCCTTAGCGCCGCGCGCATTCGTTCTGAGAAATTTCAAGAGCTTCACGGATTGAGGGCGGCTCCTTCCCAAAATGTGGCTTTCGCCCTAGCGCCGCGCACACTCGTCTTCTAAATGTGGCAGACCTTCACGGATTGAGGGCGAGTGGTTTTCAATATGTGGTTCTCGCCCTAACGCCGTGCACACTCTTCGTAAGAATTCGCAAGAGCTTCACAGCTTGAGGGCGATTCCTTTTCAAAATGTGGCTCTCGCCTCAGCGCCGCGCATACCCGTCTGAAAATGTAGCAGGAGTTTTACGGATTCCCATGATATGCGTACCAGAAACGGTGTTCTGGACGGACGCAGACGTATGAGGGTGCACAAGTTGTACTGATTCTCGGTGTTCAATTCCCAGGAACGGCGTGTTGGCACGATTCCGGATCGTCAAGACGCAACAGTCAGGTTGATCCGTGGCGGTGGAAGCTCGAGAACCATGTCTTAGCATGCTTCAGGGTCTTGAAACAGCTGTCTTCCAACGATGCAATTGCCTCAATAAAAAACGAACCGCTGTAAGGGCCTATGGAAAGGGAGCTTGAAGGAGGGTTTATTCCAACATCATTGATGCCTCCTGGGTTTGTTTACACTGGCCCTCCTCCTCCTCCTACCCCTCCTCCTCATCCTCCTTCTCCTCCTCCTCCTCCTCTTCCTCCTCCTCATCATCATCGTCATCCTCATCCTCATGCACATCCTTCTCCTTCTCCTTCTCCTCCTCCTCCTCCTCCTGCTCCTCCTCCTCCTCCTCCTCCTCTTCCGCCTCCAACTCCTCCTCCTCCTCCTCCTCCTCCTCTTCCGCTCCTCCTCCCTCCTCCTCCTCCTCCTCCTCCTCCTCCTCCTCCTCCTCCTCCTCCTCCTCCTCCTCCTCCTCCTCCTCCTCCTCCTCCTGCTCCTCCTCCTCCTCCTCCTCCTCCTCCTCCTCCTCATCCACATCCTCATCCTAATCCTCATCCTCATCCTACTCCCCCATCCATCAGTTTCCCTTGCATATAACTCTGCACTGTCGCACCCCGAGACGTGTTGGTAGGGCAGACTGGGTGCTTCGCTTGAGACTTCCTGACCATCTGTGATCGATATACTTGCAATGTGCAACAGCTTCATAGATTGAGGGCTCGCGTTTTCCAAAATGTGGTCTCGCCTTGGCGCCGCGCGCATTCATATTGAAAGTGTGCAAGAGCGTCCCGGATGGGGGGCGGGCAGGTGTTCAAGGTGTGGCGCTCGTCCAAGTGCCGCGCACAGTCGTCTAAAAAGGTCGGCGAGGGCCTCGCAGATGGAGGGCAGGCCGTCCGAAAAATGCGGTGTTCGCCCTAGCGCCGCGCACAGGCGTCTTTATGCAGGAGCTTCACGCATGGAGGGCGGGCCGTCTGCAACGTGCGCTTCTCGCCCCGGCGCCGCGGACGCTCGCCAAGCGTGCAGGAGCTTCAGGGCCAGAGGGCTGCGCTCGTGTAAAAGTAGGCGCTCTCGCCCCAGGGCCGCGCACACGCGTCGGAAAAAAATGGAGAGGCTCCACGGATGGCTGGCGCTTCCTGTTCAAGTTCCCGCTCTCGCCTCAGCGCCGCACGCCGGTTTTCTTAAGCGTGCAACAGCTTCACGGATGGAGGGCGGCTCCTTTTCAAACTGTCGCTCTCGCCCCACCGCCGCGCACATTCGTCTCGAGAGCTTGCCAAAAAAATCACGGGTGGGGGGCGGCTAGTGCTCAAAATGTGGTTCTCGCCTTAGCGCCGTCAACATCATTCCGAAAACCATCTTAACAGTTTAGGATTACGATGGCTGACTCAGCAACTGTGCTCCAGTACGAAATAGCACTGCCAGGTCGCCACAGTCACGTTAATTCGCGGTGCTGCAGTCCCAGGAACGGCATGCTGGCACCATGCAGGATGGTCAAGGCGCGACAGTACAGTTTAATCGCGGCGTTGAGGTCCGGGGAGTGGTGTTTTGGCACGATTGCGGATTCTCAGGCGATTGTCTTCCAACGGGGTACTTCCAGCAGTGACAGTAAATTATTGCAGGGACCTGTGAAGAGGGAACTTGGAGAGAGCGGTCGTTGCAACATCGTTGATGCGCCTGAGGCTGACACTGGTCCTCGTCCTGGTCATCCTCCTCCTCTTATTCCTTCTCCTCCTCCTCATCCTCCTCCTTCTCCTCCTCCTCTCCTCTTCCTCCTCCTCCTCATCCTCATCCTGCTTCCCTCCTCCTCCTCCTCCTCCTCCTCCTCCTCCTCCTCCTCCTCCTCCTCCTTGCAATCGTCCTCCCAGCGAGGGGCGAATTTGATGAAAGCCTCTGGGCGGAGGCGCCGCGGCGATCCTGCCGCACGCTCTCCTCCAGCCGGACCAGCTCGTCCTCCACGTCCCAGAAGCCGCCCCTGGCCTGGCGAGGAACGGGGCCATCCACAGGCAAGACACTATCATGGGGAGGAGGCAAACGCGACCACGGATCTCCATACAGCTCGGCACCATCCACTGTGCGAACCGAAAAGTAGCTAAGCGAAGCGGGGGCACCTCCCAGGCCGGCCTGCAATAGGCCAGCTCCCACCCACAACCAAAGCCTTGCGGTCGTGATCGTGAGAGGGCCGCGCTCGCGTTCAGAAGGCCCGGCGGTCTGCTTGGCAAAGCCTTCTGGCAGACGCCGGGCAGGCCCGGCCCGTGGCAGCCTCGTGCGTGTACGGCGAGGCTCAGATGCCCGGCCTCTCCCTCGAAGGCTGCAGGGGACTCGCTAAGCCAGGGGAGTGAGGGGGGGCCTTCTCATAAGCGACACCGTCTCAGCACAATCCAGCCTCCTCGAGCCGACTTTGCGCCTGGACGCGCCAGGGGGTCGCCCAAAACTGGGCCTTGGAAGGCTTTTGATGGTGTGGCATGATTCCCCTCCCAAGCGGAGGCAGCCCTGCCCAAGGGCACCAGGCCATCCGCCATCGTTGCCTCGCCTGCTCCGCCGTTCCCCCCCACCTCAGCCTGCTCCTCCTCCTCCTCCTCCTCCTCCTCCTCCTCCTCCTCCTCCTCCTCCTCCTGCTCCTCCTGCTCCTGCTGCTCCTCCTCCTCCTCCTCCTCCTCCTCCTCCTCCTCCTTCTCCTCCTCCTCCTCCTCCTCCTCTTCCTCCTCCTCCTCCTTCCGAACCGTTCTTTGACGGGCTTGGGGCCCAGGGAAGGCCCCTGGAATGAGAAAGCGGTACCAAAACTCCAGGGCCTCTGTCCTCCAGGACCCCCCTTTTTCTGTACGGCGGGGAGGTGCGTCCCTCTGGGCGCCTCCCCCCCACCACCGCCAGTGGACCCGAGCAGGCGTCACGCACGCTCCAGCGCGCGAGTGGCAGGACAGCGGACGGGAGATGTGATCCAGGGCTCAGCCCCCCCCCCAATGGTGGGCTTCTCTTCCACGGCCGCCACCATAAGTAGGAGGGGGAGGGGGTCCTCCTCCTCCTCCTCCTCCTCCTCCTCCTCCTCCTCCTCATCCTCCACCTCCTTCCCCCCTCCAACTATGGTGGTGGTGGTGGTGGTGGAAAACAAGCCTCCCCAAATGCTGGTGAGATCGCCCCCCCCCCCGCTGGATGGGTACGCCCGTGAGCCTCGCGAAGGGGCTCGCCCCCTCCCCTCTGGCCGTGGCCCTGTGGGCATGGCGTGGTGGAGGGTGAACGTCGTCGTCGTCGTCGCCGTCGTCGCCCACCCCCCCATACCACCTGGGGGGGTGTGAACCCTCGGCACGGGATCATACATGGGCAAACCACGGGTCGAGAGTGGGGGACCACGAGCAGCGGCATCCATTGGTAACCGTTACCCTCAATCCTCGAGGAGCGAGGGAGACGTGGTATGCTGAGGGCGTTTGGCAAACTTAGTGACGCCGGAGGCCTTCTTCTGTGCGAGTATGTGCCTCCGCAGTCCGCGGGGGACCCCAGGGACCACCAAGCACATGGGAGGATACCTGAGGGATCAGGATCTAAAGCGGAAGTACCCAATCAGAGTCTTTTTAGGGCAACAGGGCTATGGGGCTATTGGGCTATAGAGCGATGGGGATGTGGGGCTATAGGGCTATGGGGCCATAGGGCTATCGGACCATAGGGCTATAGGTCTATAGGACTACTATAGGGCTATAGGGCTACAGGGCTGTAGGGCTACAAGGCTATAGAGCTATGGGGCTCTGGGGCTATGGCGATATAGGGCTATAGGGCCATAGGGCTATGAGTCTATAGGGCTATGAGTCTATAGGGCCATAGGGGAAATAGGACCATAGGGCGATAGTGCTACAGGGGTATAAAAGGCTATAGGGCTATAGGGCAACAGGCATATAGCGCTATAGGGTGATAGGGCTAGAGAGCTATAAGGCTATAGGGCCATAAGGCTATTAGGCTATTAGGCTATAGGGCTACATAAATATAGGGCTATAGAGCTATAGGGTTCCAGGGCGACAGGGCTATAGGGCTATAGAGATATAGGGCTATAAGGCTATAGGGCTATAGGGCTATAGAGCTATAGAGTTATAGAGTTATAGGGCTATAGGGCTGTAGGGCTATTGGGCTATGGGGCTAAAGGGCTATGAGGCTATAGGGCTATAGGGCTATAGGACTATAGGGCTATAGGGCTAAAAGACTACAGGGCTATAAGGCATCCGGGCACCCGGGTACCGTGGCGGGCCGCGGAAATCGGTGACACACCTCACCTAATCATATGAATCCGCTAGGACCCCTACAGAGGTAAACTCTGTTTGGGGAGCTGATCATAGATTTCAACTCTATGAACAAGTCTGTCGAATGCTCCTCCTTGGACTTCACAATGCAGGCGGATCTGCAAAGAATGCAGTAAAGGCCAGAGCTACCAGTACCCGAGCATCCTGTCACGAAGGGTGGTGAACGGCACTCGGGTGTGGTTGGTAGGTATCCGCAGCTACTGAGTCGGTGGCACGTGAGCTTAACGTCGATTTGCACGGGCTGGCTTCAAGATCAGTAAACATCCAACATGATTGTCGGGTCAGTGTAGGGGCCTGCCCTGGCAAATAGCTTGGCTCGTCTGATGCGAGTGAGGAGATCGAAACTGCTGGTGGTCACAAGTATCCGACTGCATACGTGCATTTGCGCATTGGAAGCCCGAAATGTCCTCGACACCCAAGCTGGACAATGCGCTGCGCTTCGATGGGTATCGGGCCCCTGTGGGAGGCAGCCTCGATTGAGGCTCAGTGTGTGCACAACTAGGGGTGGAGGCTTCAGCTTGGAGAAGGTCTCTCGCTTCTCAGGAATCCCAGTCTGGTGTACACAAGGTTTCTGAGTGGCTGCCACACATTACTGTTCAGGGGCGTGCTTTGAAGGAGCGCTGCCCTCCGCTTGCCAAGCACTCATAAGCGCTCAGGCAGCTAGACATTACAGCAGCGCGCGGCCGAAAACAAAGCATGCCTGGTCACCAGTGTGTAAGTGATGTGGCGTCCTCGTCCCTCCCCCTCCCCCCCTCCCCGCTCTTCGTACCAGGAGGCCTCACGCTGAGGAAGAAGAGGGAGCTGGAGGAGGAGGAGGAGGAGGAGGAGAAGAAGAATAAGAAGAATAAGAAGAATAAGAAGAAGAAGAAGAAGAGGACACCAATACGCCCATGCAGGACCCCCGCGAGGGTCCCACGAGGCCTCCCGAAGAAGCCGCGTGACGCTGGTCCGTGGACGGACTCCGCGGGGGCACGCGCGAGGCGTGCAGCACCTGCGGAGCCCTCGACGCGCGGCGACCTCGCACGGCATGCCAGCCCATGCAGGGGCTACGATAAAAGCGGCCCTCGGAGCTGCACGGAGGCCCCGCCACAGCCGCTGCTTGGAGGCCCGGAAGTGGGCGCCAGCACCAGCACAGAGCGCTGCCACCACCAGGGGAGGGTGATCCTGAATTGTGCCGTTGGCGGCACCAGTTCGGCCGCCTGGGAAGCCCGAATACTACCACAGTCACCGAGATCGGGAGCATCTTCCCTCGGTGAAGGCACACCGCCGATATTGGTGTTGGCATCAATCTCTACGCCACCGAGTTATGTCAGCCTTCCCTAACCCCGTGCTCTCGGTTGACCAGAGGAAGAACAAAAGAAGCATGCGCACAAACTCCCAGAACTCCGAAGCTTCTGTTTGTGCCCTGGTCTCCTATTCGAAGAACGGGAGCCACCACCCACGCCAGAGCTCGGGCGCCTCCCCCCCCCTCCCCGCATTTCTGCACGTCTGGATTGATGGGCCGATCTTCCACCACCACTACCATAGGCAGGAGAGGGAGGAGGAGGAGGAGGAGGAGGAGGAGAAGGAGGAGGAGGAATGGAATGGAATGGAGTGGAATGGACCTATCGCGAAGCGATGACATCTTCACCTAATCCGCCGACGAGATCTCGCCGACGAGATCCTCCTCCTCCTCCTCCTCCTCCTCCTCCTCCTCCTCATCCACCCTCTCCTCCTCCTCCTCCTCCTCCCCTCCTCCCTCCTCCCCTCCCCTCCACCCTCCTCCTCCTCCACCCTCCTCCTCCTCCTCCTCCTCCTCCTCCTCCTCCTCCTCCCTCCTCCTCCTCCTCCTCCTCCTACCCCCCTCCACCTCCCCCTCCTCCCCTCCTCCTCCTCCTCCTCCTCCTCCTCCTCCTCCTCCTCCTCCTCCTCCCTCCTCCTCCTCCCCCTCCTCCTCCTCCTCCTCCTCCTCCTCCTCCTCCTCCTCCCTCCTCCTCCTCCTCCTCCTCCTCCTCCTCCTCCTCCTCCTCCTCCTCCTCCTCCTCCTCCTCCTCCTCCTCCTCCTCCTCCTCCTCCTCCTCCTCCTCCTCCTCCTCCTCCTCCTCCTCCTCCTCCTCCTCCTCCTCCTCCTCCTCCTCCTCCTGCCATCGACTCTCTTCGAGACCCTGGAGGGCGATGGCCTCGGCCGGAGCGCCCCGGGCGGACCTCGGGGACGAGAAGGCACTGGACGCGGGGCGCGGGAGCCACGGGCGGGAGGCTCGGGAGCCCCGTCGGGCCTGGCCGGGAGCCTCCTGAAAAACGTCCGCAGAAGCGGGGGTCCGATTCCTTGATCACCCCCCCAAGCTTGTCGCGTGAAAACCGACCCCCCAAAAAAAATCAGAAGCAAATCTGCTCTGCCACCGCGGCGAGATGACAGGAGGCGCCGCAGGAGGGCTCGGAGGCCTCCAACACAGCCTCCAACAGGGCAGACGGAAGCTCCGAAGACGCGCCCCCTGCCGTCCCGGAAGGCCCTCCTCCTCGCGCCGGTCCCAGATCTGCGCGCCGCCGAAGCGTCCTGCCCGAAATCTTACCATCGACCGGCGGGTTGCACGAAGATGGGCCGCAGGCCCCTCTTCTCGCTCGCTAGGTGTCGCAGAAATCCCGACCCTCATACCAAAAAGTATGATGTACTGCATCTGAGCTGACCAGTGTTCCAGAAACGGGGAAAGGCAAGGCCGGATGCGGTGCGGCGGAAGCTGCCAGGTGCCAGGACTGGCCTTGACGTGCCTCCAGTAGCCAATCACGTCGCGGAAGAGCTTTTCCATCGGATGTCTCCACACGGACTGGCAGGCGTGAGACGCAGGAGGGAGAAGAGAAAAATGAGGGCGAGGGGATCTGGGAGACGCGACCACGAGGGTGCCTGCAGCAGGACAGAGAGAGCCAAGCTGAAAAGCAGACGTGTCTTGCGAGAGGCGGACACATGCAAATGCTCTTCGACTGCAGGATCGCTTATGATCCACGCGTCCCTTCCGAGAACCCGTCGCCCTGCTGAAGCAGTACCAATGCTGGGCCATCTCAGACGCCCAGCCGGCTTCAACCTCCGTGTCACCTCGATCTCACCCCCCAAGGTCGCGGGAACGAACTCTCGACGCGCTAGCGCTTGGAGGGGAGAGAGCGGGGAACGCGAGGAGCTCGGGCCCCTTCGGGGCCCCAGACCTGAACAACTTCGGCGCGCCCCCCTACAGAACGCCGACCCCAGCAGCCCGCGGACGGCACGGGTCGGCCGACATGCTCGCCAGCACCCATGCCAAGCCTCTGCAGACACCCTGCCCAGACATGGCCGAATGTCTCCGGAAGCTCCCATCGACCCCCCGAAAACTCTTGAAACCATCCCGGCGCCGTCGAACACCCCCTCCCATACCTGGCCGACACCGACGGCACTACAGTTCGGTGAAAGTCTTGCTGATGAAATGTTCGACGGACTGCAGGTGGGAGAGAGCGCGCCCACGGCGCACCCCGAAAGGGGGGGAATCCCCTTAGCTACCACCCACCCCCCTTTGAACCTCCCCTGGCCAAAGCTCCCCCCTCCCTCTCCCCCCTCCTTTTTCCTCGCCCCTCGGAAGCTACCCCCCCCTCCCTTTCGCGCTCCGGAGCCTACCCCCCCCCCTCCCACTCCTTGTCTTCCTCCCCTCGGAAGCTACCCCCCTCCTCTTTTGGCGCTCCGGAAGCTACCCCTCCCCCGCTCCCTTTCCCAAAAGGGGGAGGCTTACGTAGCTACCACCCCTCCCCCTGTGGACCTCCCCTGCAGAAGACCCCCCCCTTCTTTTTTCTCCTCCTCGGAAGCGAGGCTCACCATGCGAACGTCGCAACTGGGGCGCTCGGTGGAGCTCCCTACGGGGCCACGAAGCACGAAGCGCTGTACCGAGCGGGAGACAGGCCTGCGAACACTGCCTAAAAGGGGCCTCCGGTGGAGCTCCCTGTGGGGCCACGAGGCGTAGTACTGGGCGGGGGAGATGCATGCGAACACCGCCGCTGAGGCCTTCGGTGTAGCTCCTCATGAGCCCACGAAACGCTGTGCTGGGTGGAAGAGACGCATGCGAACGCCGCCAGTGGAGCCTCCGGTGGAGCTCCCTGTGGGGCCACGACGCGCTGTGCTGGGAGAGCGAAACGCATGCAGACGCCGTCAGTGGGGCCTTTGTTGGAGCCCCCTGTGGGGCCACGAAACGTTGTACTGGAGGGGGGAACGCATTCCGACACCGCCACTGGGGCCTTCGGTGGAGCGTCCTATGAGGCCACGAAACGTTATACTGGGTCGGGGAAGCGCATGCGGACACCGCCACTGGGGCCTTCAGTGGAGCTCCTTCTGGGGCCACGAAATGTTGTAGTGGGTGGGGGAAACGCATGCAGACGCAGCCGCTAGGGCCTTCGGTGGAGCTCGTTGTGGGGCCACGCAGCGCTGTACTGGGTGCGGGAAACACATGCGGACACCACCACTAGGCCCTTCGGTGGAGCCCCCCATCTGGTGCCACAAAATGCTGCACTGGGTGGGGGAAACGCACGCGGACACCGCCACTAGGGCCTTCGGTGGACCCCCTTTATGGGGCCACGAAACGTTGTGCTGGGTGAGGGGAAACGCATGAGCCATGCAATTGGGGCCTTCGGTGGAGTTCCACATGAGGCCACGAAACGTGTGAGGGGTGTGCCAAAGTGGAGGGGGGGGGGGGGGCATGGCCACGAAACGTGTGTGGGGTGTGCCAAAGTGGACAGGTGGCGGCATGTGAACGCAGCCACTCGGGCCTTCGGTTGAGCTCACGAAACGTGTGAAGGGTAGGCCAAGGTGGACAAGAGGCGGCATGTGGACGCAGCCACTAAGGCCTTGGCATTGAGCTCCCTATGGGGCCACGAAGCGCGCGAGGGGTGTGCCAGAGTGGACAGGCGGCGGCATGTGCACACAGCCACTGGGGCTTTGAGTTGAGCTCCCTACGGGGCCACAAAAACGTGTGAGAGGTGAGCCAAAGTGCACAGGGGGCGGCATGTGAACTCAGCCACTGGAGCCTTCGGTTGAGCTCCTATGGGGCCACGAAGCGTGTGAGGGGTGTGCCAAAGTGGACACAAGGCCGCATGTGAACACAGCCACTGGGGCCTTGGGTGGAGCTTCCTATGGGGCCAGGAAAGGAGGAGGAGGAGGAGGAGGGGGAGGAGGAGAAAGACGTGGAGCACCGTCTCTTCAAAACGACGACCCAACATCACAGGATGGCTGGGAAAAAACGAATAGCTTTGAAGCCCGCCTTGGCAAACCAATATCAGGGTAGGTAGCTTACGAAGCCCCCTCCCTTTGAAAAGGAAGACCAGGCTAAGCGTGGGCTCCGAAAAGGTGGGAGGGTGGGGTTCGCTTGGAAGCCCCACCCCCGTAGCACGGCAATCTCAACTGCGAAAAGTAGGAGGGGGCAGCTTCGGAAGCCCCCCTCTCCCCTTTGAGAAGTAAGCCCGGGCTAGCCTTGAGCTCGGGTAAAGGAAGGGGGTGTAGCTTTGAAGCCCCCCCTTGGCACGGCAATTTCAGCTGCGAAAAGGAGGGATGGGGGTGAGCAGCTTCCGACGCCCCCCCCCCTGTGAAAGGAAAGCCCAGGCTGACCTTCGGCCCCGAAAAGGAGGGGGGGTAGCTTCTAAGCCGCCCCCCTTCAGCTAGGGCCCACCTGGCTCCGAAGTGTCAACACAAGGGGCGGAGGGGGTGGGCAGCTTCGGAAGCCCCCCCCTTTGCCCAAAGGAGGGGGGGTAGCTTGAAGCTGGGGCCCCCTTTTAATGAGAAGTGCGCCACAGGCGCGCTCTTTCGTAGGTGTGTTCGTGACTGGGGCGCGGATCACTGGAAGATCCGATAGTACTTTGTAATATTCGCAATAGCCGTCGTTCACAGTTCGTGTGACATGATGAGGTAGACATATCACTCGCCGCATCACTTCAAAGAATACAAGCATTTCCAGTTTTCGAAGAATTCTGCGAGTACGATCCCCGACCATATTTTCTCGCGAGTTTCAACGAGTCGCATTAATTTCCACACTGCGCGCCCCAAGCGGGACGACGTTCACTCAAAAAACAACGCGCGTCAACGTCAGAACCAACTGCGCAGGTCTTGCAAACAAGTCCCGGGTAGATGTGCTTAGTGGTTTTCACGGGTGCCACAATGCATGCATGCGCACATGCAGCTCAGAATGTGTGTTTGTGCGTGCGCATGGGTTCACCAGCAGACAGCCGTTCGCCTACGCACGCGCATGTGGAGCCATTGGGTACCGGCGGGACCACCCGCGGGACCACCCAACGGACAATCCTAAGGACAACCGTGGATCAGCCTAAGGGACAGCCCGCCAAGCAACTGCGGGACAGTCCACGGGACAGCCACGGGACAACCCGCAGGACCACTGCAGCCCGAGCCCGAGCGCGAGCCCGTGCTCAGGCCGGAACGCGAGCTTGAGACCAAGTCCGGGGCCCGAGGCCGATCCTGAGCGCGCGCCCGCGCGTGCGCGCGCACGCTCGCGCGTGCGCGTGTGCGTGTGAGCGTGCGTGCGCACGCGCTTCCGATACAGTCGCACCCAGGCCAGAAGAACACCCCTCAAGAACATGAGACCCTCCGTCGGCCAAGACGGGCAGAGCATCCGAGGGTCCTCACCCCCAGGGTGCACAGGAGCATCCAACAAACACGAAGCACACCAGGGCACCCACCCCGAACCGACCTCGATCTCATACCTCGGTCCGACTGCATGTTCACATACGATGGACAAGCACTGCCAACAATGATCACCTGACTGTAGGTAGTCCGTCGTCGACACGTCTTAGGGTAGCACTGGTTACGTCCGCTGGCTCCCACAAACGGAGCCGACAAGGGCCTTCCGCCAGCCTCCGCCGAAAAACAGCTCAACCCCTCGGTCTCTCGAGGACGGGAACGTTTCTTGGAGCGCCGCAAACCCGAAAACCTCCGAACGAACGTGGAAAACTCGAACCACGTTCGAAGAACTCCCAAAACGTCCACCTCCTCCTCCTCCTCCTCCTCCTCCTCCTCCTCCTCCTACTCCTCCACCACCACCTCCTCGTCCTCCCGCCACCTCATCGTCAACCCCAACCTTTTCCTACTTCTCGTCCTACTCCCCCCTTCTCATTACCCCTCCTCCTTGTACAATCCCGTGCGTGCTCTTCCAACTCATTCTCCTCCTCCTCCTCATCATCATCCTCATCCTCCTCCTCCTCATCCTCCCTCGTCCTCCTCCTCTCTCCCTCCTGCTCCTCCTCCTCCTCCCCCTCCTCCTCTTCCTCCTCCTCCTCCTCCTCCTCCTCCTCCTCCTCCTCCTCCTCCTCCTCTCCTCCTCCTCCCCTTCTTCCTCCTCCTCCTCCTCCTCCTCCTCCTCCTCCTCATCATCATCATCATCATCATCATCATCATCATCATCATCATCATCATCATCATCATCATCATCATCATCATCCTCATCCGCCTCCTCATCCTTCTCCTCCTCTTCCTCCTCCCTCCTCCCTCCTCCTCCTCCTCCTCCTCTCCTCCTCCTCCTCCTCCCCTCCTCCTCCTCCTTCTTCCTCCTCCTCCTCCTCCTCCTCCTCCTCCTCCTCATCTCATCATCATCATCATCATCATCATCTTCATCATCATCATCATCATCATCATCATCATCATCATCATCATCATCATCATCATCATCGTCCGCCTCCTCATCCTTCTCCTCCTCCACGTCCTCCTCCCCCTCCTCCTCCTCCTCCTCTTCCTCCTCCTCCCCCTTCTCCAATCCCGTGCTCTCCCAACTCATTCTCCTCCTCGTTCTTCTCCTCCTCCTCCTCCTCCTCCTCCTCCTCCTCCTCCCTCCTTCTCCTCATCCTCCTCCTCCTCCTCCTTCTCGTCCTCCTCCTCCTCCTCCTCCTCCTCCTCGTCCTTTCCTCCTCCTCCTCCCCCTCCTCCTCTTCCTCCTCCTCCTCCTCCTCCCTCCCCTCCTCCTCCTCCTCCTCCTCCTCCTCCCCTCCTCCTCCTCCTCCTCCCTCCTCCTCCTCCTCCTCCTCCTCCTCCTCCTCCTCCTCCTCCTCCTCCTCCTCCTCCTCCCCCCATAGATACTCCCCCCCTCCTCTTCCGACGACGACGGCCACCACCACCACACCACCACCACCCGCACCACCACCACCACCACCACCGCCGAAACCCACAGGCGGCGCTGGCCTCGTTGCGGCCGGCGAAGTGAAAGTACGTGCGGCCCCTCTGGTCAACGTGCTCACTCCAGCCTGCTGGACGTCTGCCCGCGCCAAGGAAGATTAGGGGGGAGGAGGAGGAGGAGGAGGAGAAGGAGGAGGAGGAGGAGGAGGAGGAGGAGGAGGAGGAGGAGGGAAGAGGGAGGGGGAGGAGGGAGAAGAGAGGAAGGGAGGACGAAACGGAGGGAGGCGGGAAGAGGAGGAGGGGGAGGGAACAGCAAGCAGGAGGAGGAAGACGAGGAGGACGACGAGGACGACGACGACGACGACGGCGACGACAGAGAGACGACGAGGAGGAAGACTACAGTGAACCCGTAGAATAAGAACGCACGATAAGGATGCAAGGGCCTTGAGAGGCCATGTCGACACTTTGCGAGCGGGGCGCGACCAGCGACGGCCGAGAATGGGCCGAAGGGGAAACATGCAACGGTAACCTTGGAAAGCAGCTCGTCCTTACTATGCGGGTTGACAGTACCTCACCCTCTTCCTTCTCATCCTCCTCCTCGTCATCATAATCCGCAGCAACATCAGCATCAACATAATCAACATCATCATCATCATCGTCGTCGTCATCATCATCATCATCATCAGCATCATCATCCTCATCATCATCATCATCAGCAGCATCATCATCAGCAGCAGCATCATCAGCAACAGCATCATCAGCATCCTCAGCAGCATCATAATCATAATCATCATCGTCATCGTAATCAACATCATCATCATCATCAACAACAACAGTATCGTCATCATCATCGGCACCACCACCATCAACGTCGTCGGCATCATCATCGTCATCATCACTATCAACGTCATCGTCATCATCGGCATCGTCATCGTCATCAGCATCGTCGTCATCAGCATCAGCATCAGTATCATCAGCATCAGCAGCATCATCGTCGTAATCAGCATCATCATAATCATCATTACCATTCCACTCATCATCAGTATCATAATACTCAGAATCAGCATCATCATCATCAGCAGCATCGGCAGCATCAGCATCATCAGCAGCATCAGCATCAGCAGCATCATCTTCCTCACCATCATCAGCAGCATCAACATCAGCAGCATCAGCATCATCATGGCCAGCATCATCATAATCGTAGTCGTCAGCCTCATCATCGTCGTCGTCATCACCAGCAGCAGCATCACCATCATCAGCATCAGCAGCCGCATCATCATCAGCATCAACATCAGCCTCATCAGTATCATTATCAGCATCGTCATCAGCAGCATTAGCATCATCCTCAGCATCAGAATCAGCAGTACCATCATCATCAGCATCATCAGCATCATCATCCTGTCCTCCTCCTCCGAATCTTCCCTCCTCCTCCTCGTCCGCACCTTCCCCAACTCCAGTTCCATCCCCACACGTTGTCTCATCGTGTTCCGACTCCTCCTAGGATTCGATCCCCGTCCCGATTGCGCCTCCTCGCCCCCCCCCCCCGCCCCCTCCCTGCTATATGTCCCCCCCCTTGGTTTTTGACGACACGGTGAAGCAACAAAAACACAACATCCACGTCATACTCCCTGTCCACATCCTCCTCCTCCTGCTCCTCCTCCTCCTCTTCCACCTCATCATCCTCCCCCTCATCCTCCTCCGCCTAATCCTCCCTCCTCCTCCTCCTCATCATCATCATCATCATCGTCCTCCTCCTTCGCCTCCTCCGCCCCATCCTCCTACTACTCCTTCTCATCCTCCTCCTCCTCCTCCTGCTCCTCCTCATTCTCCTCTCACTCCCCCCCCCCATCCTCCTCTCTTCCTCCTCCTCCTCCACCTTCTCCACATCCTCCTCCTCCTATTCCTCCTCCGCCTCTTCATCATCGTCTTACTCCTACTCCTCCTCGTCCTGCTCTTCCTCCTTCTCCTCCTCCAAAACCTCCTCCTCCTC